CTTAATGATGACACCTGGCAAGTCTGGTACCAAAGATGCTCTTTAGATTAATTATTCTTTGTGTTCATCTGTGGATTAATTAATTGTGGGACATTTGTATATTCTACGAGTGTTAAATACAAATGACATTTCTTCTATAATTAGTGCTCTATTTTGCATAAAAATGGTTTTGATCCACTTTCGATTCTGTTTCGGTCCAGTATCAATCCCTGCAAAGAAGAGTTGAGATTTTAAGAACCACGGTTGGAACTAAAATTAAGTCCATATCGTTTTCCTGTAACCTTCAGGAGCGGATAACTTTTTAAATGACCCAAAAATGTTGAAATTTTCCTTACAGTTTCTTTCCAAAGTTCTACTATTTCCTTGTAAATGCTAGAAAACACGATAGTGGAAGCTATCCTACTCTGTAACTAGAAAAATGTCATTACAGTACATGCAAGAGAATGGCGCTTCAGTAGTAAAACGTGAATGTATCGATTTCTCACGGCATCTCACTCGAACTAATGGCAGCCCTTTTTAACTCGGAAAAGCTTTCTCGACTTTCTCCCTTGCCTCCTTTCGCTTATGCGCTCCTAATCGGAGAGCTTTCCCGAAAGGTATTTCCATGACCTTTTGAACTTCGAGGGAAAGCTCTGCGCTTTTCCGCTTTTAATTGAAAGTATAGGGAAAAGCTTCGGAAAGCTTTCTCCCGGCGCCAAGTTTGAATAAGTTCTAATATACCTAACCCTTGCGCAATATAAATTGTGCTTTGAGGCGGTCGACTCCATCTCATAGTGTCCTGTTACTCGCAACCTGGTGAATGTGTAAAATTTTGGGGGTTTTCCGTTTTACATGCAAAGTACAGGTAATACCTCGTACTCTGCGTTCTTGCAATAAATGTCTTTTACTATTGTAGGTATTTGACATGTCCATTTATTCTTTCAAACTGCCACTTTTATGCCTTTCTTTTTGTGGTTAATCAAATTTCCTAGATAACTGTAACTTAACTAGAATATTCTGCTGATTGTGTGCTAATTTTTGTTGGAGAATTTAGTATCAAGTTCAAATTTAAACAAGTAATGGAAAACATCAGACAGAACACACTCATTAGTTCATTAAAAAAGCATATTTTGTGCAGTAAACTCTAATAATTATTTTAAAACATTTTATACATTAGAATCGAATCTTATTCTTATTATTAGTACTTATATATCATAAGAATTCTTTGATTTTGACGGGCGACCCCTCTTTCGCTTAAGCCTAATTTACATTTGGCAAGTTTACTGGCAGAAAGTACTTTCCGCCAGTAAACTGGCCCAATATAAATTAGGCTTTACCGCCAATCATTTTTACTTTGGGCAAGTGCAGCTTCCATTATTCCATTTAAGGATGGAGTCGAGCCGAACTTTTTGAAAACTCGGTCGGGCTCGTAACTATAGATGTTCAACTCGGCTCGAAACTCGGTTCTAAAAACCAGTTCAGCTTGACTCGGTTTGTTTTCGAGTCGAGCCGAACAAAGCTCGAATCCAAAACAATGGAATTTACAATTGAAAATTGAAGGTTAAAAAACATTAATCATATCAAGCAATTTTAATAAGTTGACGAAATAATAAATAAAAAGAAAACATTATGTGTAAAAATAAGCAATGAAAGCTCTTTTAAAGAAATAAAACTAAGTTTATTAACTGCAAAAGTAGATACCAAGCATCAGGTACCTTTAAAGAAGAAAATTTTCCCTAATCCGAGAATCGATTTACTGCAAGCCAAGAATACAATTTGCTGCAAGTTTCATCTGATTTGCAGGCACAGTGTATTGGAATAGCTTCACAAACACTCAGTCTACTTCTTCTACTGTACAATCAATCGTTTTACTGCACTTATTAAGGATCCTCAGATCCTTTCTAGTTTTGTGTGGATGTCCTTTTGTCCACCCGTTCGTCTATATGCACTAGAACTCTTAGTTAAGATCCCTAGATAGTTTTTATACTTAGCTTTTAATTTTTGTCCATCTGTCCACCCATCCGTTCGTCTAACCGTCTGTCCGTCCGTGTGCGCTATAACTTTTTTTGAAAGTGGCCGATCGTGCGGAAATTTGGTGTACGGGTGCTTTGGAAAAAAACGTTTTTGACAGTCCTTTATGCCTAAAATACACTGCTATAATTTCTTGAATGTTCCGTTTTATTACTAAACACTAAATTGTTCAAATTCCCACAGGAAAATTTTTCTTGACCTTTTACAGAATTCAATGTAATTTGGATGTTATATCTTAAACAATTATTAATTACGGTCGGTTTTGTTATTGGTACAAAATTCCTTCTATTGTTTTGTGCATATTTTGCTTAACACATCAACCATTTTCCATCTGTAATCTTGATGCATTTTCCGTCAAGCATGCGAAACTTGTTTAACGATCTTTTAAAAAGTGCTCAAAGCCACAAATCGCGAAATTCTCATCCTTTTCTTAAGAAAAGGTTCTGCAACTGTTGCACACGATGCCACCACCACATTGAAAACATCGAGTTACAACACAATGTGTACAAATCATTTATATATTAATGTAACATGTCTATAACGTAAATAAATAATATTGGGATTGGTAAAGGTTCTCGTTCGATCCCCGAAGTTAAGCAACCTGTTTTTTTTTAATTTTTGCTCATGTTTATCGGTTCTTTTATTTATTTTTTTGGTTTTAATGTCACAGGGCAACAAATAAGTAATAATTATAATTCCTAATTAAAATTAATTTAGTTTTGACGAAAAAAATTTTGGTTTTTTTACTGATATTTTGTTTCTCAGTTTTTTTGACACAATTTATGTAGGTTGTACACAGAAAAATAAGGTCTTTCGAGTACCTTAATATAAATTTTAGGTTGCTTTTTGAAAAAAAAATTCGGTGCCGTTGCGGCGCTTCAAAATGTTTGAAAACTTTTTACCTTACACTTGTACATCCATTTTTAACGCATTTTTGCAAATTTATTTGCCCCAAAAGGCAGCAGAATGTTCTAACTAGTGGGTCTTCAGACTCTGATGACCGCTGCGAAGTAGGATAAACCCTTTGGCATCCTTCTTTATATCCTTGCAAGTAAATTACACATTCGGATTCGGTTAATAGTTCCACTTTATGTAATTCCATTAGGTACTCATTGAACAATTAACATTTAAGGTTTGGTATAGCGAATTGTGTCATTTTCACAGCAATTATTCCACCTTCATTCTACCACTTTACGATAATTAAAATTAAGTCCTAAAAGCAATGAGGAGTCCCTAACGGCTTACGTAAAAATTAAAACTGAAACCCTTTCTTCATTTTAAAATAAAGAAACAGACCTCGGAAGATATGCTTGTTAAAATTAGCTCCAGAGAATTTTCCAGATGCAATTAGTTTATAAGATCTAAGGGATACCAGAGTGTCGACAAAGACTATTGGACCCACTCTATAGTAAAGTAGTAATCAAGAGGAAAAAATGAATTATGATTACAAACTTCTTTAGACTAAAATTGACGAACTTATATCATCATTTTCTGTTTGATATTGCGACAAGCGATTTCTGTGGTAGTTATGGGCCGATCTCTGCCAAAATGTGTAAAACAATATCAAATTGAAACCAGGAAAATCTACAGGGTATGTTTTTGTCCCATAGATTTTTGAAAATCTTCGATATATTTAATAAAAAGGTCATCCACCCTGAACTGTTTCTATAGAGCATTCTACAGCACAACTTTAGCTTTATGAAATGTTTCTTTGGCGTCCAGCTCGAGAAAGTGCGTATGAGGCTCTATATACATCTAAGCACTCTACATAGCGTGAGAGGGCTTCCCAGAGCGTTATTTCATAGACCTTCTAGTGACCTACAGTTCCTTTTCAAAGCCTTGAAAAGTGCATATGCTGCAATTGTCTTGGAAAAGTTTCAATTTTTCAACTGTTATACCATAAAAAGTGCGAAAAATTCATCTTTGAGGTATCTTCCTGCTAATTAGGTAAAATATTTTGATCCATTTTGAGTCTAAATCTAAAAAATTATTGCAAATTGTAGAGAACGTGTTGTAATTTTCTTGAAAAAGTTTAAATTTCTCATTCGTTTTACCATAAATGCAGTAATTGTGGAAAATTCAACTTTTAGTTGTTTTTCCGCTGATTTTGA